ACAGACCAACCAGGATATAGATACTGAAAACAAAACAAAACCTAAAGTACAAGAAAAACATAAAACCAAATATTGTAATGTTATATTTTACAAGTATAGAACAATTAAAATTTTAAATTCTAAAACAATAATGGTTCTCTATAGTTTTTAAACACACTAGTATTTTTTCTACTCTATTTTTCTTTATTCTTTATTTTTTCTTTATTTTCTAAGCTTTCTATAATGATGATATATTTTATAATAAAAAATGAGCAACGTAGGTTATGACAGAATAGTGAAAGAGGAGTATTGATTTCCTCTGTCATTTTGTACAGAAGAAAAGGAGAAACAACAGGGAGAAATATGGACATTTTGTATAAGGAATAAGAAACTATGAATAACACTATGGATGCCACTGTGAATAAAAGCAGAAATTTCTGAGACAATGAGTCAAGGAAGCTAACCATGGTTAAATTTTAGGTATAAAAAGAACAAAATGCCATCTTCACAGTTAGGACATCAAAGCCAATGTGTGAGACTGTATGTATCAGACCTCCCTGGTGGTTCAGGGGTGAAGTCTCAGGGCTACCAAGCCATTCCCAGACACTGTGGAATGAATTCAACAGCCTGGGATCCCTGTCCAGGGAATAACACTTCTGGTGTTGCAGACCTCTCCTGTCTTGACTGTTGTTCCTCTCAGCAGTATATTTCAATAGATCAACATGTCCTGCTCTCCACTCTCATTGCTGAATCCTCTCACTCCCTACCTCTCTGGTCTGCATCCCAGTTCTTATATGCCTAAATAAATAAGCACAAATCTTAAAAAAAAATAAAAATATGTGTGTGTCGTATATTTTGATAGCCACAAACATACCATTTACACTTGTGGACTGCAGTGATGGGGGTTACTTCCATTTGGAATCTTACTGTCTATTTATTTTCTACCTAAATTTACATTATTCATTGAGAAATCTACCACATTAATTAATCTACACTTACACTTTGACTCATGTTTAAGTATCTCCATATGCATCCTTATATTTCAAGCTATGATTTTTTTTTAAAGATTTATTTATTTATTCATACAGAACTGGGGTACAGGCCAGAGATGTGGC